GTTAATAAAAATAAATAACTTGTATGAAACAATAATAATCAATTTTTATTTCACGGGTACATTGACCTCACTCTAGACCATTAGTATGTTTATACTAATATTATTTATACCTACTACTTATGAATTGCCAGGAACGTTGTAAAAACCAGTTACAAAATATATCTATAACTGTTAGACCAGCTGCCTAGATATTAAATTGATTTAATTACGTGGGCTTCCTGTGGAAGCTCACGTCTAAAAATGCAAGTGGACTTTTCTCCGTCGTGACAATTGAGTAGGGTATAAAACGTTTTGAAACCATAGGATGAATGTACCATAGCATGAACCAGTACCATAGCATGAACCGCTGTACTGCAGCGTAAATCAATACCACAGCATGAACCAGAGTACCACAGGGTGAACCATGGTACCATAGCGTGAACCAGGTACCATAGCGTGAACCAGGTACCATAGCGTGAGCCAGGGTACTATAGCGCGAACCAGGGTACCATAGCATGAACCATGGTACCATAGCGTTAACCATGGTACCATAGAGTGAACCCAGGTACCATAGAGTGAACCCAGGTACCATAGCATGAACCATGGTACCAATATTTTGGCTTCAAATTGGTAGCGCCTGCGTTGCAGATGGTCTGCAGTCTCAGAATGAAAACAAAATGGGTGACAGATAGGCTCAGTCTCCAGCCGTCGGGATTTCGTGCGTCCGCGATACTCTCTCCCCTGACGGCTGGGCGCATGGGGTTCGAAACGTGTCGCGCATGTCCGTGACGTTTTTGTGTAATTAGCATGTTATGACGTAACGGAAGTGAATTTTTCAGTGAACGGAAGTGAAATATCTGACAACAGCCGTAAAGGTTTTGCTACAAGGCGGAAATTATGTGAAATGAAAACTTCGCGAAGTAGCGACATAATGTAATAGTTAGCGCTTTAAAAAAGAGAAAGGAATGGAAATTACCCCAAGTAAAACATGTGCAGGGTTTAATAATCCAAATGGATGTATTATCTGCCAGAAAAACGAGCAAAATACACTAGTGGCGCTGTTTGAAAAATAAGAGATTTGCCCGAGCCAGTATAGGAAGAATAACAAGGACATCTTTTCCAAGAACAATCTCTTTAAGAGCCTTTTGCTGTATTTCTCTAAATTCGTCCAAGCTAAACGACTTCAGAGCCTTCAAACAAGCACTTTCAAAGAGAATCTCAAACGACGAATTGTACGCCATTTTGTTACACTGCTGCCTGCTAATTTATTAATGATATGCCCCTCAAAATATCGGGGGCCACTCGCTGATTGGTCAAGACTGACAATAGCGAACCTCATGCGCCCAGCCGTCAGGGGAGAGAGTATCGCGGGCGCACGAAATCCCGACGGCTGGAGACTGAGCCTAGGTGACAGACGGCGGCAAAGATTTTTCTCGTTTTAAATGGTTCTAAAATGTAGCTAAAGTGCTCTAAAAGAGCTGAAAATCTTACAAAATCAACTGATTAACATCCAAATGACATTGAATAAGGTATATAATTCAAGGTTGTTGATGATTCGTGCAGAAATGACTGGGCATTTTCTACCGCCGATACGAAGAGCGCTACGTGTACTTCGCCGCAAGTGTTCGATGACAATCACAAAATCTTCAAAAATAAGAAATCACATGGATATTTAAGGTTCATACTTTGACCGAAGAATAATTAATCGATGGACTAAAGCATATCAAACCTCATCTGAAAAATATTGATGTCATTTTCTAAACTGACGATGTGTTTGAAGTTGAAAACTGCACGTGTGAGCTTACTGAACTCTGTACAAAATCTATATTGTGTATGAAGCATTTTAATTCTTTATTAAAATTTGTTTTGATGATTGCTTAACTTGAAAAACTTAGACAAATCCAAAAATATGAACTGTCATTAGAAGGTACACCTCTTTGATGATGGCACAGAACACCAGATGTAAAATGATAAATTACAAATTAAAAACACCAAAAAAGAACAGAAACACAAGATCTTAAATGATTCAAACGATCAAAATATTATTCAAAGTTATACGATACTGACAAAACTGCAAAGACTGTACCGTTTCTATTGTTTATATGACCTTTCAGAAATCTTGCATATTTTGAATTATAGACGCTCTTAGAGCGCAACTTGCGCCTACATGATGTCGAGCTAGTTATTTTGGAAAACTGAGAAAGACATGATATCTAAAGAAGTTACTTAGAGTTCAGTTCTGTAAAAAATTATGATGTAATAAATAACTTTACCAAGCAAAGACTGTATCGTGAAAATGAAATACCATTGTCGCAGCTACAGGAAGCCCACGTAAGCGATCCATGATCGTCTAGTTAAAATTTAATTAAAGTTCTTAAAGTATTTATTATGAGTACACTCCTATTTACATATCTTTATATACGGCGCCAAATATATACAATTGTCATTATCACCAGTTTTTTGTTTTTTGTTAGTATTCTTGGCTTGATCGGTGCGCATCCACCTCTAGTTGAAAGATACTATACATGTTCTAGCTTTCATCCAATTTAGCTATACTATTCAGTGTATGATTATTAATCGATGTTTGTTGTATGGTTCCCAAAATAGTTTTTTCTACCACTCTTGGAAAGGTGCTAGCTCCGATAAATAAATTTTCAGTTTTTTTCCTTCACTATCCGGAAACGCCGCATAGAAGAACGCTTTTTTTTTCGTATTTTTACATGCCGGGATAAGAACTCCGCACTCCATAATCATGTGATACACGTCTGGACTTTGGATAGTTCCATTAACCGTTCCGCTTTCGTCATATAAAACTAGCTCCTGCGATGGGTTGCAATTGAGATCTTCAGTTTGGACCTTCACAATAAACTTTGTATTGTTCTTTGGGTTTGGTTTGCGTACTTGCAGGTGATCTGTTTTTCGACGGCTAGCCAATACTGGACATTGGGTTGTTTTCGAACCTTCTACTAAATTCGCAGTTATAGCATATCCATCTGAACGAATACGGCTGGAATTCATTTTAAAATCCACAGTTACACAATATTCATCAGATACCGCTAGACATAAACCTCTGTGCTTTTTTCTGTGTTTCTTTTGACAAGCCCGACTGCAATATGAAGCTATATTGCAACCCAAGCAAGTACGGAGACGTGTTGTACTTCGGCAAAACGCACACTCTTTTTGCACCAGCTCTGTTTTTCTTTTGGGATGAAACATGCCATCTTTGTTATTTTTTTCTTCATTGTCGAATAAAATTGGGGGATTTGAATATTGCCTAGTTTCACCCTCTGGCAGGAAAAGTTGCTTCTTTGGATCTGGACGCCCAGTCCCAAGGGTTGTAGAAACCAAAAATATATTTCGATCCTCATCGGTTTCTTGACATGTCAACCATACTCCACTATTGTCTCTCAAAGTGTTTCGTGAGATAATGAATCGACCAGAGAAATTGATACCCAAGTATATGCCTCCACATTTATTGTTATTAATGTGGTTACTGTCAACTATAGCCGTGGTTGAATTCTTTGCATAAATCCCGTAAAAGCCATTCTCAAAAATGTCGTTTCGTTCGATTCCTACCTGGCATTGATCGAGGGAAATACCAAAAGAGAGGTTGTGATAAATTCGATTTTCTTTGATCATCGTCTCGGCATTCATGCTTTGACGAAGAATAATACCTTCTTTCTTGTTTTCATAAATCTCATTGTGAATGATACTGCAGGCTCCTGTGGAAGGACCTATCAATATTGCATGAAATGCATTGGAGTAGATATCGTTATCAAAAGCTTTAAGGCATCCTCCATTTCTCGCTTCAAGTCCGGCTTGATGGTTGTTATAGACCTTGCACGCTTTAACGAGCACTTGGGATCCGTCGCCGTCACATAGGATTCCCCCTCCACCGCACCCTTCAATTTCGCACTCCTCAAAGTATCCACAACTACTGTCAATAATTCGGATACCGGGAATTCCTAACACTTCCGATGCTTCGTCTGTATTCGCACATCCAGAACCACCTTTACATTTTGGAAAGTTTTCACATCCTTTTTGACCACTCGATACATGAAATGTATCATAAAGTGTATTAGTGTAGATATCGTTATCAATAGCTTCACGGCGTCCTGTTTTTCTCGGCCTGAGTTGCTCCATGGATCCATCGGGATAACGTATCATTCCCCCTTCTAAATCTTCTACAATCGTCGCTTCGATTACCTGTCTTTTGACGAATTTCCATGGGACTTTGCGAATTCGTGACACTTCTGATGACGGTTCTCCAGTATTAGTGGATTCACAAGGTATTTGGTCTGTATTCGCACATCCAGATGCACCTTTTTGAAAGTTTTCATATCCTTTTCGACCACTCGATACATGACATTTATACATTGTGATAGATCCTTCATGTGAACAACAGAGACTTTCTCCTCCTTTGGGAAAGGAAATGCCTTCAAAGTACACTGTGGCAGCGCATATTATCAAACCTTGTCCTCCAAATTTGAATGATACCTGATCACCAACTGCAACGAGCTGAAGATCTTTTGTAAGGGTTAGTCCCTGAGGTAAATCATAGCATCCATTTTTCAAAAGGAATGTCATGCCTGGGACGAAATGAGAACATTCCAGCTCGTCCATGAACTGTTTGGAACTAGAAACTTCTTTGTAATCTATGTTGGGAAACAGTTGCTTAAATCTTTCATCGCGTGAAGTTGTCGGATCGGCGTAAAGCGCAAGACTAGCTGTTGCCTTTACTCTTCCACACATGTTTGGTTTTTCTTTGGAGATTTCAAGTAGTGACCACGCCTTGCGAGTCAATGCTTTCTGGTTGTGCTTATCTAACCTCAAACACCTTCTACAGTCCTCAAGAGCTTTTTCTGCCTCACTCATTTTCAAATAACAAAGAGCTCGATTGCAGAGGGATTTACAATCGCTACTGAAGTGCTTTAGAGCAAGAGTATAGAAGTCAATTGCCTGCCCATAGTCTTGATTTTTAAACACTTCATTTCCTTTTTCTCTCCATTTATCTGCTTCATCCTTGCAATTTGTTGTCTCTGAACTGGTGTTTGTCTTGGGAGTTCCTCGTTGGTGACCCATGCAGTGGGAGATGAGTTTAAAATTCACATTTCTCAAAGGGATTTCAAAATATCTTAGATGCGCTAGTTTCTCTTCTGAAGCAGTGTCCAGTTTTGTCATTACCTCTAGTTTTGTTTTCTGCAACTCTAGTGCTTCAACCTTCTGACGGCAGACACTGAGATATACAGATGCTTCGTTCAGCAATTCTGCTGTTTCTTCTGTGTAAAGCAGATGGTGCCGAAGAGAGCTGTCTTTCTCACAAGCAGCTAGCAAATGGCCTTGCAAAGCGTTAGCATGAGCACCTAGAGTACTCCACAKGGATAATGATGGGAGGTTAGACTGGATGAAAACTGAATCGCCCTKGAAGCTCTTGCACACATCTTCTGGTGAATTTGTATTCTCAAATGCATAACAAAGCATTCTACAAGCATTCTGAAGAACGTCCTTCTGGCGATCYGTGGARATATTGSTTCTRATGACCTCTTGAACGAGTCGATGGACACTGATAGAGGTGTCGGTAAACTTCTGGAAGAGTGAAAACTTAGTTAAGGCACTAACAATGTCCTCCAGACCAACAGGAGATGACAGACAGCTATGTAAGTCTTCATTTGTTACTCTTGGTAGGCCTTCATTTATTATCTCAAATGGAATGTCATCGGAACATAAAAATGCAGACACATCCATAATTAATGTGGCTGCTTGACCGACTTCATGTCGATTAAGATACTCAAAGTTTAGCTCCCAAGTAGTGTGGACAGCAATTCGATCTTTGCTTGTATCKTGTGYGGGATAGCGTGCCTTGTATCTTCTCAACGTGTTCAGCCTTTGCTTCTTAAACTGTTCCAAGTAATTCAAGAAGGACACATTTGTACACTTGATGTAGGCTGCTGCTTGTTCAAGAGCTAATGGAAGACATCCCAATTCTGCAGCAAGCTCTTTAAGTGTTTCATCGTCTCCATCATTGCCTTTCTTTGTTCTCAGCTTTAGAAAATGAATGCTTTCGTGTTGGGTAAGATTTCCCAAATGGATGCAGTTTTCGTTGGGAATGTCAGGGATGTCTTCTTGAATCTGTTCCACCTCTCGTCTCGTAGTGATGATGATATGTCCAGTGGCATTTCGTTTCCAATGACCACATAACAATTTCATGATCTCARCAGATYCYTTCAGGTCATATTCATCCAAGTTGTCGATTACCAAACACCAAAGRTCYTTCCTAGATTGCAACCAATGTAGTGTTTTTGACAWTGTTTTTGTAAARTCCTCATCAAAYGTTCCRAGYAATCTTGCTATCTCACTCAAKGAATTCTKRAAAAGACYGRGGCTYTCTGCAGCWAGCCAAAATACTCCTCCTTTGTAGATAYCCTCGGCCTTCCAGATATGTTCTATGGCGAGAGAGGTCTTTCCTGTTCCACCAAGACCACAAATGGCTGACATKGTWMMCGAAGAATTYAATTGTAGTGGTTTTTGAAGATGATCAAGCTCTCTTTCTCGCCCGYAGAAACATGRRATGCGATTTGGTGCTTGGAAGACACTTCCTTCTGACATGGTGCTTTTARAYTCGATGKCATTTTCTAAAGCTTTTACTCGCTCGTCCAGGTTCTCCTGTTTGAATTCGATCTCATCAACTCTTCTAGTAATTTCTTCTTTTGATTCCTGAACTTGCTCTACGAGGCACTCGTGATCATATTCCAAATTTTTTAAATCAGATGACAGTGTGGACGTGAATTCAGTTACTTCAACAAATTTCTCTTGCAGATCTTGATTAGAATCTTCAAGAGCCTTCAACGCTTTCGTTGTGATCTGCTTGAATTCTTCAAAGGACTCGGAAATACATTTCAAAGCATCAGCAATCCCCTTGGCCTCGTCTTGTGTTCCTTTGAGATTTTCGAAATCGGAGGATAGCTGGGCAACTTCTACTTCAATTAACTTTACCAAGTCTGCATCGACAATATGCCCCATGCAAAGCTGCATCCCTGAATAATAACGTTCAAATATCCGTTAGCACAAAATAAACTAATAATAATGACCAGAGTTAAACGCAACACTAATATAAAAATTAGGTAAAACTTTATAGCGGAGCTCCCAAATGATATGCATGTTGGATAAAAATGGGATGGAAGACACATTGGTCAGACTAAACATGTTTCGTTAAGACTAATTTATTTTTGCTAACAAAAAAACTTCCATGAAATAGTAAACTTTTCCTCTTCAGCTTTGTCGATGCAAAGCAGTGATATATAATATATAATATGTAAAGAAAACTCATTTGAATTCTTGTAATACTGTGTGCATTCAGATTTACAAGATGCACAATTTATTGGAGAGTACACCATGTATAATGTTACATTAATCTTATTCTATTAAAAACATAATTTAGGTCATTTACAAAATAAAACTTCCTTAGATGATATTACAGAAATCATAAATTAATATTAATTGTAAAACTCATGAATAATTAATAAGGAAAACACAATAGAAATCACAACCGTGAAGAGTGTTGTAATATTTGATACAAAACTGTCTTGATTTGCATACACTTCAAATCTAATTTTCTCAGCCAAATTCAATTTTATCTTTAAGTTTTTAGTAGATTATGAATGTATACACCTAAATGTTTCACAAGTAATTTACAACATTCGCGTCCGTGTTGTGTGGGCTTTACAATCTCTCGCCTTCGGCTCGAGATTGTAAAATCCCATACAACACGGCCGCTCATGTTGTAAACATTACTTATTAATGTATTTTGAAAGTTTGAAATTCTTCAATCATACACAAATTATAACATGATTAATATTAAATGCATTTTGAAAATCTTTCGTATTTTTTAATTATTACAGTAATCATAGAATAATATAAATGTATTTTAACAGTTTTGGTATTTTCAATCATGCAGAAATCATAAATTAATAATTATGTTCAACTTTTTGATCTTCTAATGTTTATGTTACAGTTTTTTGCTTAACAGAACACTACAGTTGTTGCTTGAAGATATGAATTTTATCTTGAAGTTTTGAATTTATGTCAATATTTCCATGCGCCCATGTAATATCCTCTAGGAATCATAAATAATAATAAATGTATTTTGGCGTTTGATATTTTTCAATCATACAGTGATCATAAAAAAATGATTAATGCAATTTGACAGTTTCAATGGTGGTTTTTCAATCATACAGGAAACATAAATAATAACTTAATCACACAGGAATGACACTATAAATCAATACATTTTTTGGTTGATATTTTTCAATCAGGCAGCGATCATAAATGATCATAAATGATAATAAATAATTACATTTTGACAGTTTTATAAACAAAGGAATCATAATGACTAATGATATTTAATATATGAAAGTTTTTAAAGCTACTTCTCAAATTCTTTGCTTACCAGTATCCAAACATAATATTTCCTGTATTTGTTGACAGTTCATTGAAGAGTAAAAATCTGAACTTTCAAATAAATATCAAGTCTCTCAGCTTTTTAAAATGCAATATAAGCTTCTTAAATAAAAACATCCGAGTAGTTCTATGTCAAAAAAGATCATAATGCTTGCACACACAATTCACACATATTTTCATTGTCAACAAACTGATTTAATTGAGAAGTTTTGAAGTGTATCAGGTGAAGATTTTCAAATTCAAAAGCAAGTCTAAACCAAATTTAAAACTGCTTGTGTTTCCTAAAGTAGTAGAATTGATATTTGAGCACCAAAAACCGCTTGACAGTGCCCATACTTAATAGTCATAATCTAACATACCGGCATTTGTTTAATAACGCCAGGGTATCGTCGGTTCTCCTCTTTGAAATTCTCCCTCAATTCATAGATCCGAAACTTGGGTGGGGGTGTGCCGCTTGGACCTCAAAACCCTGACCCTGTTCCAGAGTGAAATCGCTGAAAACTATACCCTGTTCCAGAGTAAAATCGCTGAAAACGATACTTTGTCCCAGAGTAAAATCCTGCACTAGCTTGCGTGTAGACCGAATTTTTACCCCATGAATTTTTATCCAGCATCAATAATTCCGGAATCCAACCCTGACCCTGTTCCAGAGAAAATTCGTTGAAATCGATACCCTGTTCCAGAGTAAAATCGCTAAAAACGATTCCAAGTTCTAGAGTAAAATCGCTGAAAACGATACCCTGGTTGGCGGCACGTCNTCAACAAACTGATTTAATTGAGAAGTTTTGAAGTGTATCAGGTGAAGATTTTCAAATTCAAAAGCAAGTCTAAACCAAATTTAAAACTGCTTGTGTTTCCTAAAGTAGTAGAATTGATATTTGAGCACCAAAAACCGCTTGACAGTGCCCATACTTAATAGTCATAATCTAACATACCGGCATTTGTTTAATAACGCCAGGGTATCGTCGGTTCTCCTCTTTGAAATTCTCCCTCAATTCATAGATCCGAAACTTGGGTGGGGGTGTGCCGCTTGGACCTCAAAACCCTGACCCTGTTCCAGAGTGAAATCGCTGAAAACTATACCCTGTTCCAGAGTAAAATCGCTGAAAACGATACTTTGTCCCAGAGTAAAATCCTGCACTAGCTTGCGTGTAGACCGAATTTTTACCCCATGAATTTTTATCCAGCATCAATAATTCCGGAATCCAACCCTGACCCTGTTCCAGAGAAAATTCGTTGAAATCGATACCCTGTTCCAGAGTAAAATCGCTAAAAACGATTCCAAGTTCTAGAGTAAAATCGCTGAAAACGATACCCTGGTTGGCGGCACGTCCCCATATAGCGAATATAGGGGAGTACCCCCCCCCCCCTCCCCCGGGAGCTCGAAACAGGGGATACCGCGGGAGAAAAAATCGAAAAATGACTTGGTCAGATTGTGTCCTATGTTTATATAACAATCTTTCGTACCGTTTTTTTCCCAGTCACTCAAGTCTTTTATCAATCTCCTTTCTTCTACAGGTGGCAAAGATAAAGATTGTACCAGCAAATCCATTTGTTGAAAACTCTTTAAAAATTTCATATCAGACCATTTGCTAAAGTTGCAATGACCCCATTCATTTCGTACGTCCTGCCTAACATCTTTGGATGTCTTCTGAATTGGAGGTGGAAATACGCTTGCCGATGACAGAATTCCAAGGACAGCTGACAAATCACAAGTATCGTCAAATGCTACATGGAAGGAAACGTTAATAAAAAAATAGAATTATGTCATATGGATATATATATATTATAGAGTCATTCTTAGATAAAAAACATTTTAACAGCCCTCGCCAAGCTATTCCTAATTTTCAGACGGACCGGGGTCTGACGCTATAATTCTTTCTTCGCCTTACTTATCAGGCTACTCGTGAGAAGGACATGAGTGTCCGGGAGTAGGACTTCCATATATGGTAGGGTGGAGATGATCGTCGAAAAGTAATAACAAAGACACACAACTGCAGCAAACAAAGAGCTACAAGATACCGGAATGTTACGAAGGTAGGTGTGGCAACACAAGATTTATATCTTTGTATTGAGCTATATGCATAATAATATTAAATTGGATATAACAAGCTACAAGATCTGATGTAATTACTTTCGTTAGATGCTCATATTCTTTTCAGAATATTATTAAATTGCCCTAAAAGATACTAGTTTAGACATTTTTAACAAATTTTTCAGTTGACAGCCTGAATACCAATATCATCCCTGCCTGCCCTTTTTCAAGCGGACTCCTTCCCTCGGCATTTTAATGCTTCATACTAACCAGAAAATTTTGCCATGTATGGTCTCAAATATAGCTTGGCCAGGTCAATCTCAGATTTTACAGTATAATCGTAGGATTTCACTTTTTTTCCATAGTTGACTTCATTATTGTTTATGCTTCCATAATTAAGTGTGAAAGATCCATCCTTCACTAGATGAGTTCCAAGTTTCTGTTTATGAATGCTTTGACTTGTTTTCAGATTGTTATAGTGTTTATGGATCTCTGTCTTTAAAACCCCGCGGAGAGATGGTAAAAGAATTTTGTTAAGAGATATTCCAACTACAACCCATCTTTTTTGTTCCTCTCCAAGATTGAGGCTACCTGAAGTACCTGAAAGTATAATGAGATGTAAGATGACACGTGATGGTGCTACAAATCTCAATATTCCAATCACTATGCTATCTATAGTTTCCTTTAAAGGCATCCCTGTAATCATGGCTTACGAGAGTGAACTCTTTCACATGAGCAGAATGCCAGACCACTCCAATAAATTGCGTGAGACAGTTTTTCTGTAAATAACAGTACCTGGTTTACTTATTGCTTTGCTGGTTGCCATGGTTGCACTTTATAACAGCTATTCATACAGCAATCTATAAGTATAAACCCAAAAAATATTTGTTAAACAAAATATGTGCTTTACCGCGGAACCTCTCGGAACGAGGCTCAAGCCATGGAGTGAGTGTGAATGTAATTCGGAATAACTTCGTGAATACTCGCTTTTTCGCGAATTCATTTTCGTTATTCTTCGCGAACCTTCGTAACTTTCTTTTTAAGTTGGGACCCCTGTGTAATTACGTTATTGTCTGTACAAGTTTTATCATATTGGGCTTGCTGTGTGATGACGTCACTAATCATTGTACCACCCCTCCCACACTTGTACCTACAATTGTCGTAAACCACCCCTTCCTGACCCTCCCTTGCTAATCTTTTGTCCGCTCGTATACCCGATATTGTCCCGTTACCCATTGGGGAGGGCATACAATATATACTAGGAAAATAATGTCATCTCAACCATGTGGGATGCTATGTGAAGTCATTTCTTGTTCTCTTTATGACTCTACTGAGTCTAGACATAATCAAAATACATTTTTTAAGAAAATTTTTACTTTATACTTTATATATATGATATCAAAGAGGCAACATTTTACTGTAACTCCGAGTTTCGTGCTACGCACTCATCAGACCACAGGCTTACCAGTCTCTGAGGAGTTACGGGAGATGGGCTACCTGTGGCGACAAACTTAACGGATTTTCACATGTAGTCAAAATATCGTTCTAAACTGTATCTTTTCATTCTTGAAATATCAAAAAACTTCAATAAAGATGGTTCAATAGTTTATGAACATTTTTGGAGGGTTTATTTTGGATTTTGATGCTTTTTTAGTGTGTTTTGGGAGGGTTAGATTTCGACCTTCTCCAGAGTGAAGAGAAAAGGGTTAAAGGCTGGCAGCCGATCGCTCTCGGCCGGCCAACTGGTCAACTTCAACGCCGAATTTTTCCACCTTACGCCGGTCCTACAAAATCAAGCTTTTGGTATGCTGCAGGATAATAATTTTCCTACATCCTCGCCAAATTTCAGCTTCCAACGACCAATATCAACTGAGAAAATCGACCGCGAAGGTCAAAAATCCACCTTGTAAATATGATATGCACAAATTTTGAACTCAAAGGAATGTGG